GTTGGCCATTTGTCTAGCTTTTTTGGAGAAATGCTAGCTTTTGTATATGTTGCAGGATTAGGGTCCCACTTCATTCCTTTGCATGTAAATATCCAATTGTCCCAGCACTATTTGTTTAAAAATACTTTTTATTCCCTATTGAATTGTCTTGGCACCTTTGTTGAAAATCAATTAACCATAAATGTCAGGGTTTACCTATGGACTCTCAGTCTATTCCAATGTTATCCTTATGCCTCATGTGTTTCTTAAATCATTTTAATGGGGGAAGCAAAAATTATAACACCATCTGATGTGGTGCTCAATGTATTGTAACACTTAGGACAACTATATTTAAAAAGCAGATCCCGGGCACACACCGATGCACCGCTTGGCAAGCCATGCTGTGGCAGCGTCCCATATAAAGTAGAGGAAGATGGGCACAGATGTTAGCCCAGGGCCAGTCTTCCTCAGCAAAAAAAGAGGAGGATTGGTAGATGTTAGCACAGGGCTGATCTCCTCGACAAAAAAATAAAAAGAAATAAAAAATAAAAAGCAGAGAGGAGAAAGAGGTCTAAAGAGAGGTAAGTTTTCTCTACTTCACTCAAAGTGGGAAAACATTGATACCAGTAGATTGTGATAAATTATATGTGTATATTACAATGCCTACAGCAACCACTAAGAAATAGTGGTTATATAAAGTGATATAAAGTCATGCGTAGCTTAATGACAGGGATACATTCCAAGAAATGCATCGTTAGTTGATTTCGACATTATGCAAACATCATAGAGTGTACTTACACAAACCTAGATGGTATAGCCTACTAGACACCTAGGCTATATGATGCTAATTTTATGGGACCACTGTCATACATGTGGTCCATCATTAACCAAAATGTCATTATGCAGTGCATGACTGTACTAAAAAAGACAATAAGTAAATTAAGATGGAATCCTAGAAATATTCAAGTAACCCACCAGAGGATAAAAATAGAAACAGTGGAACGAGAAACAGAAAACAAATAGAAAACAAATTATAAAATGGTATATTTAAACCCTAACATATCAATAATTACTTTAAATGTAAATGTTCTGATTGTACCACTTAAAAGACAGAGATTCGCAGAGTGGATTAAAAAATGTGATCCAACAATATGCTGTCTACAAGAAACTCACTACAAATACAATTATATAAGTAGGCTAAAGGCAAAAGGATGGGAAAAAATGTATCATGCAAGCATTAATTTGAAAAAAAAAAAGGGGCCGACCCTGTGGCTTAGCGGTTAAGTGCGCGCTCGGCTGCTGGTGGCCCGGGTTGGGATCCCGGGTGCGTACGGACGCACCGCTTCTCTGGCCACGCTGAGGCCGCGTCCCCATACAGCAACTAGAAGGCTGTGCAACTATGACATACAATTACCTACTGGGGCTTTGGGGGAAAAAAATAAATAAATAAAAATTTTTAAAAAAAGAAAAAAAAGAATTAGTGGCTATATTAATATCAGATAAAGTATACTTCAGAGAAAAGAAAATTACTAGAGACAAAGAGAGATGTTTTATAATGATAAAAGGATCAATCTGCCAAGAAGACATAATGATTCTAAATGTAATGATACCAAACAACAGAGCATCAAAATACATAAAACAAAGCTATTCCAGTGTTTCTATCCCCACCCTAGAAAAGAGGCTGGCTGGTGGGCTCAAACAACTTGTGTGGTTACAACGGGTTTGGTACAAAGGGTTACATGCCTTATACAGCTCTTTGGCCTGGAGCCAGATGACAAGAAAAATATTAAACTCAAGAGAGAGCTCCAAGGACCAGAGCCAAAGGCACGTGTCTGAGTAGTGGCCACAGGAAGGAAGACCTTGGAGGAGAGTGGGGTCAAGGACTCAGAGAGCTGGGATTATAGAGCACAGAACTGTAGGTTGAAACACACAAACAGCAGCATGAGTACCAAGGCAGAGTGAGGGATTTCTTGCTACAGTTGAACAAGTGACATGTCCAGATAACATGTTGCGTGAAACCTATGGATCCTTTTAAAAGGCCCGGGACACCATTAAAACTTGAAGATGACTGTGTTATGACCCAAACCTTTTCCAAAAATAATAAAAAAAAATCACTAACATTGGTTGAGCTTACTATTTGTCAGGCAATAATATATATATATGCATTATCTCATAATTTTCACAATAGCCCTACCGTATTAGTTTTCTTTGGCTGTTATAACAGTTGCTATAATCTTGGTGGCTTATAACAACACAAATGTATTATCTAACAGTTTTGTAGGTCAGGAGTCTGACATGGGTCTCAATGGGATAAAATTAAGGCACTGGCATGGCTGCGTTCCTTCCTGTACACTCTTGGTAGCATCTGTTTCCTTGCCTTTTCCATAGTCTCTGGGCTGCCCACATTCCTTGACTTGTGGATCCCTTTATCCGTCTTCAAAGCTAGCAAAGGCAATTCAAGCCCTTCTCACATCACATCACTCTGACCTCTTCTGCCTCACCCTTTCACTTTTAAGGACCCTTGTGATTACATTGAGTACACCCAGATAATCCAGATAATCTCCCTATTTAAAGGTCAGCTGATTAGCAACGTTAGTTCCATCATCTGCAATCTTAATTCTCCTTTACCATGTAAGGTAACATATTCATAGGTTCCAAGCATTAGGATGTGACATCTTCAGGGGCTATATTCTGCCTATCACACTTAAAAAGTGGGTTCTACAATCCATAATTTAACATCTGAAGCACTGGTTCCAACTAGGGGTGATGTACCCCAGCAAAACATGCAATGTCTGGAGACATTTTTGATTGTGGATAGAGATGTCAAACATCCTACAACATACAAGGCATTCCTCCACGATAAAGCACTATCAAAATGTCAACAGTGCCATTGTTGAGAAACCTTGGTCTAAAGAACCTGAGACTTGAAGATGATAAGTATCTTGACTACAGTCACAGCTAATAAGTTTCAGAGCCATGATCTGAACCCAGGTCCACCTTATGTTGGATCCTAAACACTTTCCAACCTTGCCATATGCAGCACTATACCATGAATTGTCCCGTGACAAGCAAAACTGAGTGTCCCCCTCCATGGATGTATTCACACACAACGAAGTGAAGACTTCTTTACTCTCCTTATTCTGAACATGCAAATGTCCAGCTCCAAGGGATCTGTGCCTTGGTGATTTGGACAAAGCAGTCTAGTTCAGTAGTTAAGCAGGCATAGTGGTCTCGTGAAGCTTTCATTAATATAGTTCACTCAGGCCTTAGAGTAATAAAAAAACAAATGTGTGGCGTAGCACGCTCTCTCAGTGCTACAGGTAAGAAAGAAATTCGTCCTGGGAAATAAGATGTCATGTCAATCTTTTGTTTCTTTTACCCATCTCCCTAGTTTCTGTTGTTCCACTTACCAGAATGTCAGTTGCTGACAATATTCAGAAATATGTGTTGTCTATGAAGATGCGTAAATACCAGAGTGTGTGCATTCTAAGTGTGCATTAAGTGTAAAACTTGGAAAATTCTATCCCAGCATATTCATATAGATGAACCATGTATGAATGCAATACATGATATTTTTCATCCAACATGTGAAAAAATATTGCTTTAGCATAATACAACAAAAAGTAGATTGTCCAGTCACAGAAGATTTTTTTAATGATAACATAGTTCACTGTTTTCAATAATCACATCATTAACAACCCGTTGCATCTGAACACTGACACTGCATAAACCATTACATCATTAAACACTGAAAATAATTATAGCAACATTATTATTTTCTATAGCCGCATGTTCCCTGAAGCACCAAGAATTCATTTGAACATAATTATGGCATCTCAACTGTACCAATATCAGCATGAATTTAAAAGACTTTAATTAGAGAACACCTTTAGCTTTCATTTGGTAAACAGTTACATTCCAACATCAATAACAGCAATTCACATAATTACATATTTGTGTACAGGGTCTACTTGGTCTAAATTATTTAACAGTTCAAATCAATTTTACTGCCTTGCAGAGTTTCAAATTCAGACTATCACAGTGCCACCAAAACAGAAAACATCAGCTAAATGCAACATGACATGTATGTGAAGGAAGGTGCACATCTTTTAGAAGTGGTCACTAATGATTTAAGGCTCCATAAAGATTAATCACCCTGCTGCCTCCCCTGAGTCTTACTGATTAGAAAATTAATCCCTTTTTCAAGAAGCTGCAAGAAGCTAGTGACTTTCTCAAGGTCATTCAGCTCCCAAAATCAGAACCAAGACCAAATCTCAGGTCTTCCAATTCCAAGCCCCTTGGGATGAGAGATCATATTTTCCTCATTCCTGTTCTACCACGTGGGGCTCACACAGTGTCTGGCACAGAGTAAGGTATCTGCTGAATTGAATTCTCAGTCTCATACCCTATCCACTTACTACATTCTTGCAAATGTCTTGTTTGATGTTCAGAGCTGATATTCAGCTAAATTCCGCCCCCCCCCCGCCCATCTGTTCCCTCTCCCACAACCCATGGACCAGCCCATAATCCAGGAACTAAAGGGAATTTACTGGTCTCCTGGACTTTGCTGCAGGGCTGTGGTTGGTGTCCATTCTGATTGTTGGGTGTCCTTGCTATAGCTACTGTTTGTTTTTTTTTAAATTTTTTGTTTATTGCAGTAACATTGGTTTATAACATTGTATAAATTTCAGGTGTACATCATTATACTACTATTTCTGCATAGATTACATCATGTTCACCACCCAAATACTAATTACAACCCATCACCACACACATGTGCCGAATTATCCCTTTCGCCCTCCTCCCTCCCCCTTCCCCTCTGGTAATCACCAATCCAATCTCTGTCTCTATGTGTTTGTTTGTTTTTGTTATTATCTACTACTTAATGAAGGAAATCATACGGTATTTGACCTTCTCCCTCTGACTTATTTCACTTTGCATAATACCCTCAATGTCCATCCATGTTGTCACAAATGGCTGGATTTCATCATTTCTTATGGCTGAGTAGTATTCCTTTGTGTATATATACCACATCTTCTTTATCCATTCGTCCCTTGATGGGCACTTAGGTTGCTTCCAAGTCTTGGCTATTGTGAATAACGCTGCAATGAACACAGGGGTGCATGTATCTTTATGCATTGGTGTTTTCAAGTTCTTTGGATAAATACCCAGCAGTGGAATAGCTGGATCATATGGTGGGATGTGGAGAGAAGGGAACTCTCATACACTGCTGGTGGGAGTGCAAACTGGTGCAGCCACTGTGGAAAACAGTATGGAGACTCCTCAAAAAATCAAGGATAGAACTACTACAGCTACTGTTAAACGCTGTGAACATTACCTTGGTTTATATCTAACAAACTTCAAACTTGACTTTGAGTAAGTTACCTAACCTCTCCTCTCATCTTAAAATGAGGGTGAAAATAATAATGGTCCTATTCACAGGATTGGGAGGATTAAATGAGATCATTTGCATAAGCTTCTTAGCACAGTGCCTGGCATATAATAAATTCTTAATAAATCTTAGATATTATCATTATTATTTTGGTTGCAAAAAATTATTTGCTTAAAATGAAAGAAGCCAGTGCACAGTTACTTAAGATGCTCAAAATGCCCAGGTTCAATATTCAAGATTCAATACATTTAAGATCTAAAATGATTTTTTATGTAAATAGAGCAGGAATTACTATAACCATAGCGTTACACTTGGGTAGAACCTTTACTAAACACTTTAACATGTTTACAAAGTGCTTTCTCACACATTGCTGAATTTATACCATGAACAAAAAATAACGACTAGTCTTAGAGATTCTGTGGTAAAGATATCCTCATCTTAGTCAAAAGGGGAGTTATATACGACTTTAATTTGAGGAATGCTAAGGAAAGCTTAATGCACTATATAGTTCTTCAACCTGGATGACACAGTGTCTTAATTCCATGACTGTAGTGAAGATAATTGCTTTATTTTTGTCAGCTCCTCCTTTAAAATGTGATTACTTCCTGAACTGCTGAGAGTTCAGGCTATGATTTTTTTTTTTAAGATGTATACTACGCCTACTGCTCAAAAGGATTTGGGACTTTTTAATATAATGTGAAACAGGACAATCAATCAGGAAAAAAACAGAAGTCATTTAAAAAGAACAGAGAAGTAGAGAATACCAGACTTTGAAGAGATAATGTTGGGCACGGAATTTATTTTAATATCTTGGCAACTATGGCAGAAGTTGGAAGCATCTTGTGTAACGTGGTCTACGTTTTTTGACAAAAAAAAAAAGCAAACACGTTTGTCTGCAAACACATACTTTCTCCTGGGAACAAGTAGTACGAGAAAGATTACCAACATGCTTCTGGTTTGAGTGTGAATCTCTTAGATTTGACTCATGTCTTATGGGCAAGAGGTCAGGTGAGGAATTTAGAGCCTTCCCACCTAGTTAGGATTTCTGCCGCAGTCGAAGGAAAATCTGCCTTCCTTTTCTCAGTTAACTGTCGCCCTTCCTACGCACGTCATAAAAAACCACAAGGTGAGCCAAAGTTAGGCTCAGCTAATAAAATAAAAGAAAATACATTACAATTAATTTAACACATACTAATTCATTATTTAGCAACAATGTTAAAAATATAAGATAAATTTCAAGTAATCAGACTACAAATAATGATAATAGCAATACCATTTATATAAAATTTTACAGTTTATGAAAATATTTTCACAGGTATTATTGAAATCCTTTGATTTATTCCACAAATATTTTTTGGACATTGATTATGTGTTAGACATGTGTGCCAGGAGAGAGTAGTATAAAATATAATATGGTTCTTGCCTTCTCAGATCTCAGTTTGGTAGGGCAAGTTATACCTTGAAGAAATAATTAGGGCCGGCTCCGTGGCTTAGTGGTAGGGCCGGCCCCGTGACTTAGCGGTTAAGTGCGCGCGCTCCACTACTGTCAGGCTGGGTTCGGATCCCGGGCGCACACCGAGGCACCGCTTCTCCGGCCATGCTGAGGCCGCGTCCACCATACAGCAACTAGAAGGACGTGCAACTATGACGTACAACTATCTACTGGGGCTTTGGGGGGCAAAAAAAGGAGGAGGATTGGCAATAGATGTGAGCTCAGAGCCGGATTAGCAGAAAGAGGAGGATTAGCATGGATGTTAGCTCAGGGCTGATCTTCCTCACAAAAAAAAGAAGAAGAAGAAATAATTAACCAAATAATTCATAGATTACACTTGTAACAAGTGGCATGATGGAGAAGTACAGGGGATTATGAGAGTGTCCAGCAGGGGAGCCTGACCTACACTAGTGGTTAGGGAAAGCCTTGCAGAGGAAGTGAAATGAAGGTTGAGACCTGAAGAAAGAATAAATAAATGTTAGCCAAGCAAAGAGGAGAGTGAGCATTAGAAGACAAGGAGATAGCCTATGCAAAAGACCTGAGCTGGGAAGGGGCACAGCCTATTCTAAGAAGCGAGGAGAGAATGCCAGGGTGGTGGACATCCAGAGCCAGGAGACACGTCAGGTAAGATGAGAGAGAATAGGCAGGAAGACCGAGGAACACATCATGCTGAGCCTTGTAGACTACACTCTTCTAAGGATTTGGTCACAGGATCTGATAAATTAATACGTATTGGTGGATAGTGCAGGGCAAAACCAATGGGTGGGTTCCACGTGGTTTCATTTAGTCATGTTAAGGAAAGTTGAATGCCCCAAATATCAAGCCAGCTGGCTCCCAACTACAACAGTCAACTACTATAAAAGAGTTACCTTGGCTCTCTAAGTATCCAAATGACTTCAGAGAGTTGACTGTCAGAGTACTGGCTGTTAACAGTGAAGTTTCTCACCTTCATTCCGGTTCTGACTCACTGCTTTATGACTGTGTACAAACCTTTAGCTACTCTGAGCTTCAGCTTTTTTATTTACAGAGTGGAGATAATTTTTGCCTCACATGGTTATTGTGAGGATTAGCAAAGGAAAGCACTTTGCAAGGATAAAATAAATGTTCAATGGTGATAGTTTTATGATTCTGAGTCATGCCATGTTTTCCTTAGTGGAATTCCTAAGTCATATTTCATTCTAAAAGATTTTAGAATGCCTTCTTTCATATACTTAAAAGATAGCTTGGTATAATAAAAAAGCTTTGGAGTTGGAAACACCTGACGTCAAATGCCAGTCCTGGACACCCTGGCTGGGTGACGATGGGACATTTGAGCTTCAGTTTTTTCGTATGCTAATTGGGAGCAATAAATTGTTATTGTTATTTTAAGTATAGTTATTTTATTGTTATTATAAGTATTAAATGATGTTACATTGGTAAGACTCATACTATCGTGTCTATTACAGAGCAGATCTGCAGTAAACACTTGTTCCCTACTTTTAGCTTTCTTTCTCCAAGAAGAAAAAAGCTTCTGTATTGCATTTAAGAAAGTAGTGTATATCATTGCTTCCCAGACTTCAAACGTGTGTAGGAAACACTTGGGGATTTGTTAAAATGCAGAATCAGATTCAGTGGCTCTGGGATGGGATGCAAGATTAAGCATCTCTAACAAGCTCCTGGGTGATGCTGTCACAGCTGGTCCGTAGACCATACTTCACAAGTAGCAAGGGTCTAAACGATCAGGCTAGTTTATTAATGCCATCAACCTGCTGTCCACATCAGAATGAGATTGGGATGTATCTCAGTAGGCCTCCATGCTTCTTGGAAGAAGGACATCAAGTCAAGGACTTCTTATTGTTTGATTTCACTTAACATTTCTTGACCCAGAAATAAGGAGCATATTCCTACTGTAGAAAAATCTAGTAAGAATCTTTCTTAATTATAGAGGTTTGATGATCACTCATTTGAGGGTTTGCCAAGAATGCTAAGAAAAATTAAAGATGAAGAAGAACAACAACTTGTCTATTGAAGGAAAAGCAAAGTTTCCCTTGCTTTTTAACTAAAACAGTGATCATGGAAGCCAAGAAATCACTCTAAATGTGGTAGAGAAGGCAACAAGGGACAAAATTCCACCTTTTTTTTTTATTGTGGTGAAATATAGAACCTGAAATCCAGCCATTTGTGACAACATGGATGGACATTGAGGGTATTATGCAAAGTGAAATAAGTCAGAGAGAGAAGGTCAAATACCGTATGATTTCCTTCATTAAGTAGTAGATAATAACAACAACAAACAAACACATAGAGACAGAGATTGGATTGGTGGTTACCAGAGGGGAAGGGGGGAGGGAGGAGGGCGAAAGGGATAATTCAGCACAAGTGTGTGGTGATGGGTTGTAATTAGTAGTGGGGTGGTGAACATGGAGTAATCTATGCAGAAATAGAAGTAGAATGATGTACACCTGAAATTTATACAATGTTATAAACCAATGTTACTGCAATAAACAAAAATTAAAAAAGAGAGAGAACCTAAAATTTACCATTTTAACCGTTTTTACGTATACAATTCATTAGCATTAAGTACATTCATATTGTTGTGCAACCATCACCACTCTAGAACTCTAGAACTTTTTCATCATCCCAAACAGAAACTCTGTACCCATTAACTAATAATAACTCCCCATGCCCTCCACCCCAGCCCCTGGTAACCACTATTCTACTTTCTGTCTCTATGAATTGGACTATTCTATGTTCCTCATATGAGTGGAATCAAGCTATATTTGTCCTTTTGTGTCTGGCTTATTTCACTTAGCATAATGTCTTTAAGGTTCATCCATGTTGCAACACATATCAGAATTTCATTCCTTTTTAAAGCTGAATAACATTCCATTGTTATATATATTCACCACATTTTGTGTATTCCATTTACTGTTGATGGACTTTGGAGTTGTTTGCACCTTTTGGCTTTTGTGAATAGTGCTGCTATGAGCATTGGTGTACAAATTATCTTTTTGAGTTCCTGCTTTCAATTCTTATGGGTATATATCCAGAGTGGAATTGCTGGGTCATACACTTTTCTATGTTTAATTTTTTGAGAAACCACCATGCTGCTGTTCCATGTCAGCTACACCATTTTACATTCCCACCAGGAATGCCTGTCTCTTCTAAAAGAAGAAAAATCATGTTTTGCAATAAGAAATCATTTTGTAAAAGATGCTATAGGAGGGGCCGGCCTGGTGGCATAGCAGTTAAGTGCACGTGCTCTGCTGCTGCTGCCCAGGGTTCGGATCCCAGGCACGCACCGATGCACCGCTTGTCAAGCCATGCTGTGGTGGCGTCTCATATAAAGTGGAGGAAGATGGGCATGGATGTTAGCCCAGGGCCAGTCTTCCTCAGCAAAAAGAGGAGGATTGGCAAC